AATGTCTCTCATTAAGGTTTTATAATTTCTCCTTAGAGTTCTCGTATCTCCTTAGTTACATACTAAGCAGTTTTTTGTACTATTGTATACAGGTTTTTTTCACTTTTTATTTCAAAATAATTTTTTTGATTTACAGAAGAGGCAAAAATAGTACAGACTCCCCATATACCTTTCACCAGTTTCCCCTAATGTTAGCATCTTTAACTATGGTACAGTTATCAAAACAAAGAAATTAACATTGCAACAATAGTATTAGGTAAACTACAGTTTAGTTAATTTATCTGGATTTCCCCAGTTTAACTACTAATGTCCTTTTTCTCTTCCAGAATCCATCATTACATGTAGTCAGCAGGTCTCCTGTGATCTATGACAGCTTCTCAATCCTCCCTTGTTTTTCATGACTTTGACACTTTTGAGGAATACTAGTCAGGTGTCCCTTGGTTTGGGTTTGGGTTTGTCTGCTACTGACTCAGGATTAGACTGGGGTTATAACGTGTTTGGGGAGGAATGCCACAGAAGTGAGGTGCTTTTCTCACTGCATCGTATCAGGATACATGACATCAACATGGTTTGTCACTGATGATATTAACCTTGACCCACTTGGGTAAGGTGATGTCAGCCAGGTTCCTCCACCATCGAGTTACTATTTTTTCCTTTCCACAGTCTAGTCATGTTCAGAAGTGAGTCACTGAGTCCAGCCCACATTCAAGCGGAGGAGAGTTACGCTCTACCTCCTACAGGAGAGAGTATCAAAGAATTGTCACACATATGTTAAAACCACCACAGCAATGAATAAGTATTTGAGGGGAGATACTTTGAAGTTTTCTCTTAAAGTTTCACCTACTAATTTTAGCATTCATCCGTGGATCTTGCCTGCAGCAAATATCATTGTGGTCCTAATGGTGGTTTTCTATTTTCCTCATTCTTTCTACATTTATTGTTTGGAATTCTTCTGTAAGGAAGATTTGTCCTGCTTCTCCAATTATTTATTTGTTAATCTGAATCAGTATGGACTCAGGAATATTTCTTTTTTGAGCTATAATCCAATACTATTATTTATTTTGTAGCTTTGGCCATTGGATTGAGAGCTCTTTGGGTAAGTTCCTGTGTCCATTTGACGTGCCCCCATCCTTCTCATTTATTTATTTTCGAGCATTTCCTTCCTCTCTAGCACTAGATAATACTTCAGGCTCATCTTGTATTTTCTCTGCGCTACCCCTAAAATCACCAATCAGCCAGAGTCCTGGTTCCTTTTACTGGAAAATGAATGGTATTTAGAATCCAGGATCTGGGCACTGGGTGTGCTCATTGCTCCAGGCCTGTCACTGCTATAGGGCCTCTCAGTGGACAGAGCTGGGAAATAATGTGTAGGTACATAACCTGAGTATACACACATATCTATATTTATTTTGGTGTCTATATTAAGCTAACTGTGAATTCATACTGATATTTCTGACCATAGAGTTCATTCACACCCCCTACTTGGTTTGTTACTTTTTTTCTGTAACAGTGAGAAACCTGGCTCCCATATCTATAATTTACTTACTTATTTGTTTAACCCAGGTGAACATGTAGTACCCCTATGAGAAACAAACTTACCAACTAGAATACTGTGTCTATGATAGTTTTTTGACTTTAGCCATACCATGTCCAGTCAAAAGATTGTTACCTGAGGCTTTGTAGGCCAGCTTCTTCCCCTCTCCTTTCAGTGCTACGTCATACATTCATAACACAGAATTCACTCGTCAGTTTACTCTCCACCCTAGGATCCTCCAACAGGCTAGTTGATTTCATTTTAGTTTGCACACAGTAAAATCTATTCTTGGAGATGTACAGTTCTATGGGTTTTGACAAATGCCTGGAGTCATGTATCTGCCATCACAGCATCATACAGAGAAGTTCCATACCCCTAGAAGTTCCCTCATATAACCCTTTTGAAGTCAAGTATTCCTCCTCCCCCAAACGCCAGCAGACATTGACCTGTTTTATGTCCCTATAGTTTTGCCTTTTCCAGAATGTCATATAATATGTAGCCTTTTACATCTGGCTTCTTTCACTGCTTAGCAAAATGCATCTGAGATTCATCCCTGTTGTTGCATGAATCATTAGTTCATTTCTTTTGATTGCTGGATGGTATTCCATTGTATGGATGTACCACAGTTTGTTTTGTTTATCAATTCACCTATTGAAGTACATCTTTGTTGTTTTCAGGGTTTGGCAATTTGAGTGAAGTTGCTATACACATTTATGTATAGGTTTTTGTGAACATAAATTTTCAATTCACTTGGGTAAATATCTGGGAGAGGGACCACTGGGTCACACGGTAAGTGTATGTTTAACTTGATAAGAAACTGCCAAACTCTTTTCCAACATGGCTGCACCATTTTGCCTTCCCATCAGCAAACATGTGAGAGTTCCAGTTGCTCTGCATCCTCGTGTTTCGTATTATCAGGCTTCAACTTTCTTTTTTTTTTTTTTTTTAATGTAAGGTGAGAAGTAAGGCTCTAACTTAATTCTTTTCCAAATATCCAAAATTGACACCACTTTTTAATTTTAGCCATTATAGTAAGGGTGTGTGGTAGCTCATTGTGGATTTAAATAGCATTTCCCGAATAACTAGTGATGTTGACTGAATTGAGCATCTTTTCTTGTGCTTATTTGTGATCTTTTTTATTTATTTATTATTTTTGGTGACGAAGATTGGCCCTGAGCTAACATCTGTTGCCAATCTTCCTCTTTTTGCTTGAGGAAGATTGGCCCTGAGCTAACATCTGTGTCAGTCTTCCTCTATTTTGTATATGGGATGCCACCACAGCATGGCTTGATAAGCGGTGTGTAGGTCTGTGCCCAGGATCCAAACCCACGGACCCAGGGCCGCTGAAGTGGAGAGTAAACCCAACCACTAAGCCACTGGGCCAGCCCCTGTAATCCATTTTTAAAATTGGGTTGTTAGCTTTCTTGTTGTCAAGTTGCAAAAGTTCTTTATATATTCTGGATACAAGTTCTTGATCAGAGAGGTGGTGTGTAAACATTTTCTCCAAGTCGGTGCCTTGTCTTTTCATTCCCTTAGCAGTGTCTTTTGCAGAGCAAATGCTTTTAATTTTGATAAAGTCCAATTTTTCAGGTGTTTTTTCCCTTCAAGATTGAGCTTTTTGGTGTTGTACATCAAAACTCATTGCCAAATCCAAGGTCCAGAGATTTTTCTCCTATGTTTTCTTCAAGAAATTTTATAGTTTATGTTTTACTTTACAATAACTTTTACGTTTTCATTTTCAGATTGTTGATGATCAATGTTAGGCATAAATGGTAAATGTATTAAAACTTAGACACACACACATACACACATTCACAAATTTATATTACAAATAAACTTAAGAGAGAGTTATATTACTTTGAGGTGGGAAAACCTTCCTTTTTCAAAATGCAAAAGATAGGTATATCAGTTTAAAAACAGAAAACAATTTCTATGATAGAAACGACCATATAATTAAGGTTAAAACAGCAAAGATAGACTGGGAAGGAGATCTGGGCCTCATATGACACAAGGTTACTATCTCTAATATATTAAAAAATTCCCACAAATTGACGAGCAAAAATGAGCAAATGATATGAACAGACAATTCCGTAGGAGGAAATCCAAACAGCCTCTGAGCCACAAAGGCATTCAGCTTAGAAGGAAAAACAGCATCCCAGTCTTCATCCATGCTTGGCAGGCCCTGCAAAGGCTGCCAACAGCCGGTGCAGTCATGGATGTGGAAGCTGGCACATTCACACACTGCTTGTGGAGTCTGAACTGCTGCAACTTCTTGGGAAAACAATCCAGCAACACCTATTAAAATTACCAAGAAGCACTCTCTCACCTGCCCCAATATGTCAGGTTTTCATCAAGATGGGTGGTGCATCCTTGTCTTAAAGTAGTGACTTGAAGGTAATGGAGCCTGAATGTCCATCAAACATGGAATGGTTGAGTGAATTGTGGCAGATCTAAACCACGGACGTTTACACAACTACTAAAATAAGACTTAGATTCATGTCTACATACCTGTAGAAAAATGAGATGAGCATATTGCAGAGTGACAGGAACAAAGTGACAGGAACAGAGCCATCAAATGTGCATAAAAGCAAGTCCTACCTGGTGTCAGCTGCTATGATGAGCAGAGAGGGATGAGCTAGGAATCCAGGTGGCAGTTAATACTGGTGACCTTGGGGGAGGAAAGCCTTCATAAATCTTTGAGTTGTTTCACTTTTTACAAGTACTTAATTCTTTTACAATAAAAATTTTAAATGAAAAAAGTTCAGAGTGAAAAATCAGAGGACTAAAACATATTCTTAGTCAGCCCTGAGCACCAGTGTCAGATCGCTGAGGGTGGGCCCAGGAATCTGAATGTTACACCAGTTGTTGGGGTGGTTCCTGTGCCTCCCTTGGGGTATGGGTGATGGATGTGGCACTGTGGCCTAAGCGAGGGGCCACAATGGATGTCCTTCCCTCCTGGGCTTGTAACTCCTCGTAGGCAGGAGTCTTACCACCCTAGGTCTTCACTGGTGCGTCACAAGCCTCCCGTCTACATGAGCGTGACATTGTGGTGGTGGGAGTCAGTGTCTCTTACCAGACCTGTGCTTGTCAGCTGTTTCATGAATGTCAGGTGTGAACCTGGAGAAGCATGGACGCTTGAGTTCAGCATAAGCACAGTCCTTACTCAGAGGAGGCATCACTGGCCCTCAACTGCTCTTCAGCCATTGAGGCCTCAGGCAGGTGGGGGCCATCTTAACCTGCCCAGATCCTCGGTGCTGAGGCTTCATGCACCATCTCCACTCCTCACCTGGCCCTGCGAGTGGATATCTTGTCCATTTGTGGGAAGACTTGGTACACAGGTGTGTCCCACAGCCAGAGTGGCAGGTTGGCGTGGGCATCTGAGTCCAGCTCTAGCCAGCCCTGAGGCCCCTTTGCCATCAAGCCTTCCACGGAGGCCTAACGTGCTGCCCTATACCTTTCCCCGCAGTGAAGAAGAGCCCCATGCTGCTTGAAGTGAGCCCGGCCCCTTTCATGAGAACCAACAGCTTTGCTGAGGACCTGGACCTGGAAGGGGAGACGCTGCTGGCCCCCATCACCCACGTGTCACAGTGAGTGCCCGCTTGCCCGCAGATGATGGGCTGGAGGGGCGTAGGGCTCAAAGGGGCCTCCACGATGCTGGGGCTCAGGTCTACTCACCCAGCATTCACTGCCTGCCCTCAGCAACCTGGGGCTACCAGCCACCACAGGCTGGCCCCAGTGCCGGGGCACCAGGCAGGGAGGAGAGCAGGGGCATTTCCCGCTGAGTCTGAGAACATGATCCTCTTGTTTTGACTTATGGAAAACCAGACTGATCGTTTTCCACTTGTTTTCATGCTTCGAGCATCTGAGAAGATTGTTTTTCTCTCCCCTAGCCCCCTCCCCCACCCCCCAAAAAAGAGACGACTTTGTTTTTCAGCATTTCCCCGTGGAACCCTGGCCCAAGCCACGGGGCAGATGCCGAGTGCTGTCTGCCAGTTGCCGCTGCTGTCCTCAGGGGCTCCTTCAGGTGGAGGAAATGGCCGATTTTCCACGCCTTCCAGTTGGCCTTCCCCCGAGGCACAGCTGGCCTGGGATGTATGCCCGTCCTCCCCCGCCGTCACGGCATCGCTAGGCCAATCCCTGGGGCCCAGCCATGGTGTGATTCCCCAGTGACGTGTGACTCAGTGCTCCCTGCCGGGGCACCCAGCAATGACAGCCTGTGGTGGGGTCAGCGGGGCACTCGGGCCCATTTTGGCCGCCACCCCACTGGGGATTCCCCTGAGAAGTCTTTTTGTGTCTCGATGTGTAAGCGGCACTCGCAGCCCTTCCCAGAGGCACTTGCCGGCACTCTTTCCTTCTCTCTACAGGCAGTTCCCTAAAGGGTGTTGTGGCTCTCCAGACTTTCTAGGGCTCTCGAGGTCGTCCTGAACCGTGTGCGCCTATGTCACAGTGAAGCCCTAGGCCTGCTGCCTTTGCTGCCAGCCAGGTGCAGCCTTTGCTTCATAGGTGACTGAGAAAGTTGGGACCCGAATTACAGGGCCTCCTGGATGCTCATGTGACCAGAGGACTGGCAGAGTCGGGTAGCAGAATGAAAGAAGGATAGGGTTGTCTTGAGGTGGTACTATGACCAGACAGGACCCACTCGCCATCTTTCCAGGTCCCCCAGGCTCACAGGGAGGTTGGCAGCACCCTGTGGTTGGCAGAGTGTGCATAGGAAATGTTCACAGGCTTGGTGGGAGCCAGCCGGGTCACTGGGAAGCAGGGGTGACTTGTCCTCCCGGACCCAGCATGAGAGCGGGCTTCTGGGTCACCCTTGGGAATGGGAATCTGAACTCTGGGTCCATCCTGGAGATGACCTGCCAGGCTCACTTGGTAAACGGGCAAGGCCGGAGGTGTGAGCAGCAGCGGAGCCAGGCAGGCTGGGCAGGTACAGGTCAGTGCCTGAAGGCAGAACGCCAGCTTGCCATTTTGGCTGAGGACTGTACAGACCCCAGAGCCGTAAAAGTTGGAGTTTTGTGGCTGGTGTCGTGTGCAACACAGGTTGCAGCGCCTGCCCAGAGCAAGGGCCGTTGAGAGCCCACTGAGAACCACAACCCTCGTGTAGGTGGACACCACCCAGGCCTCAGCCTTGTCTTGTCTTCCTGGCCTCTTTCTTCCTGTCGCAGCTCATTTTCCTCTGTTCTCTCAGCTGTGGCCTGGCCCCCAGAATGTACACACAAGGAGTCGCACCCTGAGAGGACAGGGCTGTCACCCACCATCCAGCCAGCCGAGCAGTCAGGCCTCATCAGCTCCCTGGGCCCTGCAGGGCTCCTGCAAGGGAGGCCCAGGGTGAGGGTCGTGAAAACCTGGGGACGGAGGTGGCCCACAGCCAAGCCCACAGCTGCCTTGTGCAGACACGCCTTTTGAGGTGAGGGCTGTCCATGCAGGCACACACCAAGCTTCCTGGAGCCAGAGGCTGCCCACCTGCCCAGGGAGCCCCAGGAGGCAACCCAAGCCAGTATAGCTGCATTGTCAGGGGCGCTTGGCCATTTCTTGTCCTCCGTCCTTGGAGACAGAGGCTGTCAGACCTGAATCACCCTGAGCTCTGCCTGCTATGGGCCTGGTACATCACCATCCAGAGAGCCTGCTATGGGCCTTCTCGGGCTGGCACTCCCACAATGTGGCCGGTTGGTTGTACGAGGGGGGTGTCCTCTGTCACCTCCAGCGCTGGCTGAGCCTAGGTGAGGCCAAGACACCACTCTTCACCTGGCTGGGTCCCCACTCTAGAACCTGAGAAGGTCTTTCCCAGCACAGATCCTTCTAGAGGCAGTTGCTGGATGTGAGCCAGCTGGGAAGGTGGGAAGGAGCCCAGGCGTGGTGCATGGGTGAGAGGTCTTCGGTGGTCTTCGGAGAGGTCTTTCTGCTTCGCTGGAAGCAGGGATACCAAGGTTGCAGTTGAGGGGCCACCTCGAGGCATTGTGGTCTGGTCAGGGCAGAGTCAAGGCTGAGATGGCAGGGGATCTGTAAGCCTTTGTCCTCAGTAGTTGGGGTACTGTCCGTTGAGGAAGCCCTGGTAGGAAGAGTGGGATGTAGGCCAGTGAAAGAGGTGTTAGGTCCCCAGAACGTAGGCGTCCCCAGGGCTACAGGCCGAGCAGAGGCCCCACCACCATGGCTAGAGGAGGAGATGGCACCAGTGGGCACCGTGTTTACTCAGGGCTGCACCGACCTTCGGGGTGGGGAGCAGGATGGCCAGGCTTTTGTGCCTGCGCTGGAGCCGCATTCCTTCGCCTCCCGCACAGCCAACCTGGTGATTGATGCCCCTAATTAAACTCGGCTCCAGCTGCTCAGGGACGCGGCTCCTGTGGGCAGCCCAGCTCTGTGGAGCCCGAGAGGGGAAGAGAGGCGCACGCTCTGGTGTGTGTGCACGAGGGACAGGGATGTATGCGGGGGTCTCGCAGGGGGCAGAGTGGGTGGGAGGCAGTTACTGAAAAACAGATCCATTTTTCTTCAGCATTTTACTGATGTTAAATGTATTACCACGTTGGGCCAGTTCCAGAATTCAAATTAAAAGCATAAATAAAGACACATTTTGTTTCCATCTCAAGCTCTCCCCACCCGCAGGGCCCCAGGGAGGTGAGGTCACTGCAGCCTTGATTACGGGAAGGTCCCTGGGGCTGGGCGAAGCTCCTCTTTCCGGGGCCTGTTGGCCATCGGTGGAGCGAGGGGTGGGGGGGCCGGGGGTCTGTGAGCAAGCCTGGAAGCTGCCAGCAAGCAGGGGCCAGGGCACAGCAGGCTGGGGAGACAGAGTGGCTTCGGCCACCCCAGCCCTGTAGGCAAATCCCAGCATCCCCATGCAGCTTTGGGGCCCTCACACAGCTCTGGCACACGCAGCCTCACACACAGCTTTCAGGCAGATAGTCTTCCAGGTCCAACAGCGCCAGAAGGGAGCCCCTGTCTGCCTCAAGCTCCCTATACCCTCTCTCCCCTACCCAGAGCCTTGCTGCAGGGCTTCCAAGGGGCAAGTGTACAGTAGAGACGGGGCATCTAGGGCACAGTGTGGGGGGCTGGGGATCTCCCCTCCTCAGCTCCACCAGAGGAGGGGAGCCCTGCACCCCAGTAGGAGCTGGGATGAGTTCCAGGGCTCCTGCTCCACCTACTGTCTTCTGCCCACCGAAGGTCACTAGCAGGACAGTGGGAAGGGCGGGCCACCCACCCCGTGTGCATCCCTGTGCCTTGCACAGGTGTCCCCATCTGGAATGCCCCTGTCACTCACAGCCATTAGATTCCTACTCATCTTTCCAATGTCTGCTCAGTTACCCCTGCCTCAGAGGCCAGGATGCCTGCGGGCCAGGCAGCCGCGTCCTCCTCCAGCTCTGGAGGCCCTTGGTACCAGCTCCCTGAGCCCTCAATACGGGGCCTGGGACCCTTTTTGGGTCTCTGTCTCCCTGCCCAGCCCTCGGCTCCTGAGGAGCAGGGAGTGTGTGGCTCCTCTCAGCCTCTCCCTCCTCCCCAAAGCCCCAGGCTAAAATTAGCTCTAAGACTGCTGCTCCTGTCCCAAGGCAGACACCATCCCCCCCTCCACCCCCCAACCTCCGCCCCAGCCAAAGCCTGGCCAGCCCCACCTAAGGAGGAGATGAAGCAAGGGCCTTGACATGGGTGCTAACATGCAGGGCCTGGGATAGCAGGGTCAGAACTGGCCTCCATTCTCCATGAGGATCCGTGGTTCTGAGCTCGGGGCTGTGAGCAGGAGGGGCCTGGGTACTCTCCTCCCAGCAGCCTTGGGAGATTGCAGCCATTTCCGTGAAGTCCTCTCCCAAGCTGTAGAGTCAGCCAGGACTGGCCTAGTCTGCCCCATCAGTTGCACATGGATGTCCAAGACAGACCGTGCAAGAGGCCAGGCCCCTCATGAGCACAGACTGTGGTTTCCCTGGAGGGTCCCTCCAGAAGAGTTGGTCCCTGGCCTCCACAATCTCTTTTGTCATGACATCTTGGATGGGCGAGACTCAGCTCGTGTTTATTAGCCACTCCTCCTTCTGTTCTGCAGGAGGAGAATGTAGGGTGGCACCCTGTCCACTGACCTGGGCCTGGGGAGGGCCAGGGGCCTTCCAGGGATGGAAGGCATGGGGAGGCAGGGCTGAGGCTGGGGCACTGTGGGGCCCCCACCAGGTGACTGTGAGCACCTCCCCGGCGAGCATGTGCTTGCACGCCCCCTGTGACATGACAGCCTGTAGATCCTTGAGCAAAACCAGCCCTGTGTGCGTTAATTAGAATTTCCATGTCTTCAACTTTCTCCTGGACCCTGCAGAATCTCACGCCAAAACGTTCAAGCTTCTCTTTTCCAGTGAGGCCGCTGTGGCCTGGCTTTCATCCACATCACTACTAATGTCTCCTGAATTCTGCATTTGTCAGCGAGGCCAGGGCCAGCCCCATGCCTTCTGGAAATGGGGGCAAATGTCACAAGGCTCAGCCTCGCACTTGGCTCCGTGGACCAGGGGCTAGCTCTTTTGATGGATCCAGCTTTGCCAGGGACATTTCAGAGATACCCAGGGCCTACTGCGGCCTGCCCCCATGGACCCTGGAGGCACCAGGCACTGCACTTCTGCAAGCGCCT